ACACAAGAGCCCCGCACACCGAAACCCTAAAACACAAGAGCCCCGCACACCGAAACCCTAAAACACAAGAGCCCCGCACACCGAAACCCTAAAACACAAGAGCCCCGCACACCGAAACCCTAAAACACAAGAGCCCCGCACACCGAAACCCTAAAACATAACTGCCCAAGCACCGTTTTGATATTCCACTCTCCCAACTCTCAATATTTCTAAGTTAAAAGTTAGAACTTAATCTCGGGATTTTTCAATAGTCTGTCTTTTCTTATATAGTTGTAGTTGCCACTATAAAAGGAGACTGTAATTATTTTTTCTTTCTCAATTTTTTGTAGAAAATAAGGTTATTTACAATGAAACATGTTACATGATTACTGGAATATATTTCATTAGACAACTAGAAGATGCTAAACATCTTACTAAAAAAAGATGTTAGATAGCGAACAAGGTAAATGTTCAAAATACATAGTCACCTCCTGGAGAACCTAACTTGGTCTAGTAGTCTTTTTAATTCATGTGTAACAATTTGGTGACCATAGAAATGGCCCTCGTTGCTCACAGTAGTTTACGAGATCCACAAAGTCAAGTCTCTTAACTACTAAAATTTTAAACACAAGGTTGTTATACCTTGACTATAAAAATTAGATATTTGTATTTGTTAAGTCTTTATGAAGTCTTTAGGTGAAAATTTGGCTACGAGTCCAACATAATTTTAGCGAAATGTACTCTAGAATTATTAAAGAGTAAGCCTATTTAAGTGCCATGTTTTTTTGTAAAAGTCGTAGTAAATTACCTAAGCCATTACCCCACGATTACCTAAATGGTATACTTGTGTCCAAAGAACTTTCTGCATCAGATGCGAAACACTGCGAATACTATTTTGAGGCAAACTCTCATTCGTCTGACTATTATTTTATAAAGGGTACATAGTTCAAAGAAATGTCATTCGTTCCGTCGGAAGTCCTAAAACACAAACATCCGGCATACAATATCGACATGGTTACCACAATATGTCCCAAATGGATGCCAAGAATCATAGAATTATTTTCTGTCCGACATGCAGTTTTGACTTCTGTAACCATCGGCATCAAATTAGTTGGTGAAAACATAGATAGAGTATCCAATGCAAACAAAATTATTTCCTACAAATCACAAATTATTTGATATATACGATATAAACTGTTTTTAACTATAAAAGTTGAATGACACCTATAAGCACATTACATAGAAAGTCTTGACCTCTGACCAAATTTACGATTCATGACAAGTAGATGGTGGCATTGAAAAGAAATTCGCGATTTAGTGACATATGCACGCTGCACGAATAAAGACCAAACAACACAAAGCATTGATTGCCCCAAATAAACATAAACAATAGGTGCAAAAGGCGAGTTCAAAAAGTCATCAGTCTGACCAAGTGGAGTGGGTATACAAAATATGTATATAAGTTAGCTTGTGCCCATACTGGAAGAATTATTCAATGTATTTGCACTCCAAATAGGATTCTATTGTATTTTATTTCCAATCCTTGAAACCCAACTTTTACTTTCGTTAATATAAACTACAAAATACATTCAATCCTTTTTGATTAAATATGTTGGCCAAATCATTACTCTTATGCATGGCTTCTGCCTTAGCTGCTGCTTCTGAAGTTGCAGTCTACTGGGGTCAAAACTCCGCAGGTGGTCAAGAAAGATTATCTACTTACTGTGATAGCACTAGTGTAGACATTGTTCTTGTTTCCTTCATTAATGGATTCCCAGACCTTGAAGTTAACTTTTCTAACCAATGTGGTCTTACTTACCCAAGTGGCTTATTGCACTGTCCTCAAATTGGTGAAGACATTAAATACTGTCAATCTAAGGGTAAGAAGGTTATGATTTCTATGGGTGGTGCCAGTGGTACTTATGGTTTCTCTTCTGAAGCTGAAGGCTCTGAATTTGCCACTACTTTGTGGAATAAGTTTGGTGGTGGTTCCGATGCTGAAAGACCGTTCGATGACGCTGTTGTTGATGGTTTTGATTTCGACATTGAACATGGTGCTGAAACTGGTTACGTTGCTTTAGCTAAGGGTTTGCAATCTTACTTTGCTAGTGCTTCTAAGAAATACTACCTTTCTGCTGCTCCTCAATGTCCTTACCCTGATGCCACTCTTAACCAATTATTGACTTCTGTCGCACTCGATTACTCTTTCATTCAATTCTACAACAACTACTGTAGCTTGGGTCCAAACTTCAACTGGGCTTCTTGGGCTGAATACGCTGCTACCGTTTCTCCTAACAAGGACATCCAATTATTCCTTGGTTTGCCCGGTTCTGCTGCTTCTGCTGCTGGTTACACTCCTTCTGCTACCGTTGACCAATACTTGTCTGATATTCAATGTGGTCCTAACTTTGGTGGTTTTGCTATCTGGGATGCTTCTTCCGCTTGGTCCAACGTTGACTCAAACGGTGATAACTACGCTGTCCAATTAAAGAACTTGTTGAACGAAGCTGATCCATGTACTACTTCTGCTTCTTCTTCTTCAACTACTTCCACTAAATCATCCACTACTGCTGCTACAACATCTGCTATTACCGTCACCTCCGATGTATTGAGTTCAAGTGCATTCTACGGTAATGTTTCTTCCTCTGCTATCCCAACATCTTCTGAAGGTGCCACTACTTTCACCACTAACTACAACACCGAACTCATTACTGTCACTTGTACCAAGGATGTTTGCCACCACGCCAAGCCTACTGATGCTCAAAACATTTATGAAACTTCTTATGGTACTG